AATGCCTTCTGGTACAGGAGAAAAAGCAGCAAGAAAAATCAAAATTCCCAAGAGGTTTCTGCAGTAACATCAAGAACAGCATTATTTTATTGTAACAGGAACTTTTAGTTTCACAATTCTGATAATGAGGATGCGCTTCATGTAATTCTAGCATATTGGATATTTTTTGCCTTTTGTGACTTTTTTTCACAAATACTGTTTTGTATTTAGAGCATCAGCAGACAGATTTAACTTTAGTTAGGTTGCATTCAAGAAGTATGAACCAAATACATGGCGAGTTGGTGGAGGAAACTGGCATTAGCTCCTTGAAAAAAAGCACAGTGGGGGAATAAAAACCCCAAATCTACTAAATTCAACTGCTGTGTTTCTGGATGTTTCATCTTCTCATGAGAGAGAAAATAGACACTTTGAATACCCCAAATCAGAATATAGTAATGAATGTTGCTAGTGCCTTGTCTACCGAGGCAAAGACATGTATTTTCCAATCATATCAGTTTATATGGAGCCTGGTCTACAGAGCAGGCATCTTAAAATGATCCCGAGGATTTTAAATTATTTGCATGGACATTAAGAGCGAGACAGAGGAATTCAATCAAGTTATGGCAGTAGCTTCATTGGATTAAATTAAATGAAAAATATATCTGTCTGTCTTGTGAAACCATGAATTTGTAACAACCAGCTTTATTACAAATGCAGTTTGTTTATCAAAATTCCACTTAAATTTCTTACCTCTATTTTTTTTTTGAAAATGTGTTTTTAGTTTACTAATATGTGTCCATCACAAGTCTGTAGAACTCACCTTAATCTTTTATTTTTCAATGGATTTTAACTGTCATATTTAATGTAAGGCCTGCTTTTTCAACAGCTGCATTTTTGTAGTAGAAAGTGTTCATGGACCAATGTTGGAATTTTATAGTTAGAGCATCTGAAATGCTATAATATTTTTTGTATCCTAAAAACACTTGTACGGAAGAACATAGGAAATTTTCAGAATGTTGCACAGAATTTAGAGGTAAGAGAATGAACAGCATGCTTTGGTTACCAACTGACCGACTGCTAGCGATGCTGTAATTTTCATTGCATTGAGTCATTTCTTCAGACAGTAGTTTTCAGAAACCTGTTTTTTCTAGAGAAAGAAGAAAATCTGGTTAAATTTATTTAGTTACATTGAAGATTTGGAGAATATTTATGAATAGTGCACATTAGCTTATTCTGTGATTGTAAGATTTTGAGTCTGCAGTACTTTTTTTTTTACTTATCTTAAGATATCCCAAGAAGGGTGAAAGAGACATAGCTTGTGACTAACACAAGAACTCAAGTGACTTTGAAGTACAGTTGTTATTCCCGAGCCTCTTCTTTTTGAAAATATAATAAATGAAAAATACATAAATTACTTAATTAGTTGAAGAGATTATAACTGAATAAGTTAACTTCAGTTTTTGACTTTGAGTCAGGGGTTTTTTTCCGTATAAGCTAGTGCCACAAAACCAAAAAAACCCCAAAATATGAAAACCAGTGGAAAAACAAATGAAAAGAAGTCTCATAGCCATTTAAATAATCAATATTATATTGATATAGTAATCAATCCATACAGTCCTCATGGGCCACCAAACAGGATGAGGATAACGGTGAAAATTACTTTGGAAAAAAACCCAACACATTAAAGATAATTAACAGTAAAAGAAATATCACAGAAGATGTTACATAGTCTGAAGACTGAGAAGGAAAAAAGGAGATATTGGTATCTAGCTGATCAAATGCTGGATTTCTGTTTTAGAGGAAAAACTTCAGAACCCTGATTTTTCTTTACTGAAGATTTTAGTTGAACATAGAACTGAAGGAGTTTTAATATGCCTTATTATGAGTGATTTATAGCATCTGTGCTGGCCTGCATTCAATAAAAGAGAATATGTTCTTTTTATACTTATGAAGAGGATGAAGGAGCAGTGTTGCTAGAAGAAAATGTTATGTGATTTCTGTGGCTGTTTTTAGGAGCAGGAGTATAGAAACTAGGTGCGGATCTACTCACAGGCTTTCCTGGCAAGGGCAGGCTCAAAGGCACGGTTCTGCAACTCGGGGATTGTCAGGCGTCATGGCATTAGATCTGTGGATGATTCAAATGGGAAGATATACTTCACTCAAACAGAAGAGATCACTGTCCCAAGTGTCTCTTAAATCAGTAGCTGCACGTAGGCTTGGCAGAAATATTTATCTGTTGCATAATTTAATAGCACATGCTGCTGTATTAGTTGATGTCCCACTCATCAAGCAGCTGAAAGCAGGTCACTAAGGTGGTTTCATAATAGTGTGCAATGATTAATTATGGGTTTGGATAAAGTCAATGCAAACGATACTTCTTACAGATGTATTTAGAGTTAGATTCGGTTCCACATAATGGCATGGCAAGAGAAGCATGTGTTACCAGAGCGTGTCAAGAGGTGGGTAAGATCTTTACGCACAAGGGTGATCTGGATCACTTTTGTGTATGTACTTGCTTTCTGAAGACAAATTTAATGCATTATTTAAGATCAGGATTGAGCATTGTCAACAAGAAAGCTTTTTTTGTTGTTTGTTTTGTTTCGGATGTAGTTAACAGGTGTCTGTTGGAATCAGCATTCAGGATAACATGGCTTTGCATTTTGAAAATGTATTTATTTCCTAGTCTGTGATGATTTTTTCTTAAACTGTTGTTACTTGCTTGCTAAAGAGTAACTTAAAATGGTATAATATTTTATATTTATGGTATAAGCATTGTATACTGTATATTCTTTTGGGGTAGAGGTTGAAGTGGTTTATTGTATTCACTTTCATTTTGTCCTGCCTACATCCTCACTCTCTACAACATGATCCAGGTCTCTGAGACAAGCTGAGATAAATTTCCTTTCTTCTGCTACCCATTCTTTTTAGTTTTCTCTATTAGTAGGTCTGTTTTTATTATTTCTCATAAACGTATCTTATGACTACTGTGCAGTTTTAGTTAAAGTAGTTAAAAATGCGAATTGTAGTCCACCCTGAGGTAAATGTAGATATTATTGTACCAGTGTCAGGCCAATTTTGTCTTCAAAAGTGATTTTTCTTCTGTTTCTTAATTTCCTATAGACATGCTAGTGACATTTTAAATTTCAGTTGGTGATACCCATTTTGAATTAGTGCTCATTGCTATAAAATAATTCAAATGTTGTTGGCCAAGTTCTGTTGTTTACATTGGTGAAAGTCTTATCTATTCCAGTGAACTAGTTTGGATTTACACTGGTGTAACAAGAACGAACTTGGCCATTGCTCTGTTTTATAAAAGTAGTTCTGTGTATGTCTGATGTAGCTGTGTAAAAGGGGATCAGAGGAAAATGTTATAGTAGCTGTTACAGATTGCCTTCTGTCTTCTAATCCTAATGTACTGCACCTTTAAATTTTTCCCTTTGTTTTATTGTGTTTGGAACTCATGGTTGATTTTTTATTTTTTATTTATTTATTTATTTATTACTCTGGTCAGTTTTATTTTTCTTTACCTGTTATTTCCTTTTTAACCTATCTTTACTTTCCCTGTCATCTGATAATTCTGAATTGTTTGTCTGTATATAGCTATAGACATAGATGCCACTGGCTTAGATGCAGAAGAAAATGATATTCCAGCAAATCATCGCTCCCCCAAACCCAGTGCAAACAGTGTAACATCACCCCACTCCAAAGAGAAAAGAATGCCCTTCTTTAAGAAGGTAACACCGACTTCCAAGCTCCCATCTGTCCACCTGCTCACCTGCAGTGCGTCACATTTCTAGTCCTGTTAACTGTCTGCGTCCTTTGACAAGCCAATAACATGCATGCTTTGTTGTTCTTTGTTTCTTTTCCATGCTGCTGTAGCTAAGCAGAAGCAGAAATCGGTAAGTTTATATCGACATTACCTGTGTTTATCCTGCCACTGGCATCATTAGCATTATTACCCCACATTAACAATGCAGCTACTCTAGAATTAAAGAAGAAACGTAGCAAGCTGTTAGTGGATTCAGTACAAGAAAACAGTGTCAAGTTCAGTGCGTCCGTGAAGCTCTGTTACGGTACTTATCCTTTTTGATGGAATAATAGGACACACTTAGAAGGCCCTCTAAAAGTTTGAGAAATTTATTTCTAACAAATCCATACAATGCACCTCTCCAGTGCATGCTTATTCTTTCTGTATCTTTCTCATGTATTATTTTTTTCCTCATAACTCAGTCTATTGAAATCATTATTGGAATCTGATCAGATACTCAGATTGTACGTAGAAAACAAATACTCAAAATCATTGTATTTTTAATTTAGTCAGTATTTAAACTTCTAATTCACTAGGTGCAAAATCTGCAGGTGAACAAGACCAATGGAAAACCGCAGACTTGTTTTGATAGTTTACTTTGAGTTTCTACTGTTGTCATGTATAAATTATCAGCCAAATGTTCTTGCCATCCATCAGTCAGACTTTTTTAGTATCTCAGCTATTGGAAACGGTACTGTAGGTTCCCAGGAGAGCCAATGTCTCTCCACAGATAACCCAGATGATAACTGCAGAATTATGCAATTGGCATCCTGTTACAGCAAACTGTGATACGTTTCTAGGATCTTTGCTGCAGTAAGTTATTAAGACATTAGGTAGCAGTCAAACTGTGTGGTGAAATACCACATTTCTACTTTTTTGGTTTTAAATCTTTAGTCTTCATAGCTCTTATTAATTTGTTTTCAGCCACTCACTTAAATCTACAGGTAACAACAGACTGTTACAGTGTTTATAAACAGCATCAAGTGACACTGTTGCTCATGCTGTGGATGCTCACATGTTTAGTAAATAAAACTTTCTCTCTCTCTCTCTTTTCTTCTTGAACTCTTTTAAATAATAGTGGATCTTTCTCATTTCCAAAGTCACTGGTATTTGTCTCAGTAGGGTCTGTTAAGTACTGTATCATTCACAGCCCACTGTGGAAATCAACAGCAGTTTCTTGCTTCTGAGTAATGTCTTAATCATATTTATAACTAAATCTAAATGCTAAGGAAGACTAGTACATGTTGACATGCATTGAATGCTATCTGCATAAGCATCTTTCGAAGATGCAGCTTCTAGATGAACCACCTTGGACCTGGATGGTGGCTAGTCCCATCTGTCTCTTCATTCTCTGGTGCCTCTTCCATATCAGAGTCATTACTGGTCACAGTGCGTTTTGTAATACTGACATTTACAGTAAATGCTGGATGGGCATCCCAAGCTAATCTATATAGTCAAACCTCCGAGCAAAAGCTGTATGGTCAACACTATGCTAGTTTTTACTCCGAGTTCATATTTGAACTTGAATCTGCAAGTGAAAGCTGTATAGCTCAGTGCCATTCCCTTAGAAAATATTAGATTCTCTAATGCTAAATTACTTTAATGCTTCCATTAGATAACTTTTACTCAATTTTCTGCTGACAGCTTCATTACTTCAAGCTGTAAAGATTAGAGAAAAAAAAATTGCCTTTTTCAACAGAACAGATTTTTAAAATACCCCGTATTCCATCAAATAAGGTAATTTCTGTGCTTTCCCTAATTTTCAAATAGCTGGTTAACTTCTAGCATGAACACCTTTGGTTGAGTCAGCCACATGAAGACAAAGATCTGTTTCATCGGCACACTGATGCTATAAGCACTTACGCATCTGTAATGAATTTTTCTTAGGTTCTGTCTCTAATACACTTATCAGATTATTATTAATATTAGCAAGAACAGTGGAGGGCTGCATTTGGATACTGGCACAGCATAATTGCGGGGTTTTGCTTTGAAATGTGTTGAGTCAGATTCTGCACTGTGTGAAATAAATTAACTTGACATGCTTATGATGCCTTGGGCACTGGTATTCATTCTTATGTAACTAATTATCTGGTGAAGGTACAGGTAACAAAAAATATGATAAATTACGTTGAAAAACATTCACAAAAATGTTTTCCATGTTTTAGACTGCTTTAGACTGCTGCTTGTGTAGCATTTTGTGCTGTCACTGTATTAATGTCTGTCTTTGTGTTTTTCTGTTTCGGAATGTATATACTTATTTTAATGTTATTGTGAAACACCTTGGGATACGTTGAGTACTGAAACAACGAGCAATGACTGTATTCTGTGATCTTGACTGATGTATTTGTACTATGTAGGCATCTGAAAAAGAGATCTGGCATACCTTTTTCCATATCACCCACACGTGCCTGGGTATGGATTTCAATCATTTTTTCCCCTAAGACAAAGATAAACCGAACCCTCCCTTACAAACAAAAAACTCTTTCTGATAAGACTCATTCTTGGTGGTATATATTGAATAGCCAATTATTAAAGAAAAAAAAGGTTTAATTTGTTTATATTATATTTTAATAACAATATAAAACTGTTTGCCATCTTTGGAAGCAGGCAATCTTTTTATCTTTGTATTTTACAATACTTTTTATAGATTGTGCACAATACATCAGTAAGTAGTTTGGTGAATATCATGCTAACAGAATCCATTCTTGGGTGGTGACAGGAACTTCCCAAAGTGGAAGGATTGCTATCCCAAGCTCTGTTTATGAAAATTTTCTAGAAATACTAACTTGATCAGTCATTATTTTGATTTCATTTGCAAGTGAGTTGCGGATGCAAATGTGGAAGTCAGACTATGAGGGCTCCCATGGGAATTTGCAGTGGTGTCACAATGTTTTGTCAAGCAGTGGGCAGATCTGAACATGAAAAGAGATGTGTTATGCTTTTCCCATCCCTTTCTGTTTTATTTTTCTCTTTCATAATTTGCCTACATAAAATTTTGGTGGGAAGCAGATGTCACAGCTCTAGAGTCAACCATTTCAAATCATTAACTGTTGGAAATAACCTTTTCAATTAACCATGTAGGAATTACGGAGTGGGACATGTGAATGTCTCCAGAAAAACAGTTTTTGTAGCTCTCCAGAGCAAATATGAAAACAGCAAGAAAACCAAAAGTCAAAGAGAAGCCTTTTCAAAAGAAATCCCTGAACCTGTTACGTCTTTATGTTGTACTACCACTTTTCAGGAAAAGTTAATGAATCCATGATTCCTGTGTTGGTGACATCACTGGAAATTCAGAGTTCCTAATATTGTAAGTAATGTGTAACACTTTCTCTAGGTGCTGTGATGCTGAAAGCTTTTTCTGTTTTGCAGACAGAGCACATCCCTCCCTATGATGTAGTGCCTTCTATGCGACCAGTAGTTTTAGTGGGGCCTTCTCTGAAGGGATATGAGGTAGGTGATCCTTGGAAATTGTTTCATTTTGCCGAAAGTATTGTGCTTCATTTGAATCATATTTGAATGTTGAAATCTAGTTAAGCAGAATAACATAACTTATATCATAGACAAAAATACAGACAGTTCTTACTTCTACCAGATACCTGCTTACATGTATTTTGTTTCATATCAGAATTCACATTCAGAATAAATTACTTACATTCCAGTCATATTGTTCAGATATAAGATTTACTGTAACCTTTATTACATATTATTATTAGCATCAAGTATTATGAGTTTCCTATGTTAGTATTAATTTGTTGTTTGTTTGCTTCTAGGTAACAGATATGATGCAAAAAGCATTATTTGATTTTTTAAAACATAGATTCGAAGGGCGGTAAGTACTTTGCAATGCAAATCTACTTGAGTTCAGGTCCTGTTTAGGTACTACCAGGTTTTTAAGAAATAATGACGTTCTTTTTGTAGAAAATTAGGAATGGCAGCTAATTCCTTGATCAATGGACTGTAGTGGGGATTGGAAGCTTCCTTAGCAGACCATGCTAAACCTGTGCTGCAGTGGGAAGTGTTTAGGGACGTGTATTTCTGGAGAGTGGAAAAAAGGATGTCTTCTTCTTGATGACTGAACATTCGCACTCCAAATTGCTAGATATTTATCTGCAGATTTAATGAATGTGTACTCTTAAAAACTTGTTTTATTTAAGTATTTTTCAAGTGATAGCTCATCAATGCTTGCTGGGTTCTATACAAGCCGACGAGGACCACCATTCCACCTCAGCTCTAGTTGCTTACAGTGGCATCTAACTTGGAAAGAGCGATACAAGATTCAGACTATCTAATGTATGTGATTGTCAAACTCTTGATGCCTCAGGATAGGAGCTTGGTTTGACAGAAGTGCTGGACTCTATAATGGGAAGTCTCAAAAGGACTGCTGGGGGGGTGTCAGTCCCCCACCTCACTGAAATATGGTCACCCGTGGTAGCAGACAGGCTGCACTTCCCTGGGCTTGGATATGAGTGCTGTTACAGCCTGTCCCGCACAGCGTACCAGGCAAGGTCCAATCTGATTTGTATTTGAGCCTCCAGGCACTACTGTAGTACAAATGTCAAATGATGATCCGTCTCTAAAAGCAGTGGCATGTTCTGTAATTCAGACATCACAGACCCATGGACCAGAGACATCAGGTGGATTCTCCACATGTGATTATATTGCTACTGGATCAAGCCCAGATTAATATGTGCTAGCGGGTTAACATTTGGGGGAAAATTTGAGAAAGTGGGAAGGTCTTGTTACAATGTCTGCAACTGCAGTGAATGTTCTATTTAGCCTGGAAGTGGGCAGAGCAGTGACACCATTCTGTCTGTCCTGGTGCTGTCAAACTTTCAAGAGGGAGCTTGAGGTTTTCTGTCTATAGATTCAGCTCTTTAAAATACTGGACATCGTGGTTTAAGCTATGGGATTTTCTCAGTCAGAATGATGATCTTCATACCTAACCACTTAGTAGTCTCTCTTGATATTAGTCAGGGTTGTCAAATCATAGATAGCTACCTTCAGAATTGGCAGGTAACAAAAGAGTGAGTGTTGCAAGCAGAAAAAAGTGATTGCGTCTTTATGTCTTAAAGCATGTCTAATTTTTAGTTGTAGATCCAGTTGTGACAATTGGTGTCTATAGTAGCAGATTGGAAGCATCCCAAACTTCAGTAGCAGTCTGAATTGGTACTTGAGGTCCTCAGCAAATTTGTACAGGAGGTTCTTAGATTCATGCTACTGCTGTCACTGCCACTCTGCTGTCAAGCTGTCCCTGCTCTCACTGCAAAATGTCCACTGTATGGACATACATATTCTTTGTTTTGAGAGCAGACTTGTTATTCCTGGTGTTACATATCTCAAGACATTAAAATGACCTTAAAAAGATGTTGAAAGATTGTAAAATAAAAAATAGCATTTTTAGACTGGTAAATGTATCTTTGTTCAATATACCATAATTACATTTGAAAAAGGGAAAAAATATTTTCTATTCCCTGTAGGAAGGAAGACTGGCAGGAAAAACCAACCAACCAACCAACCAAAAAACCCCAAACCTGTAAAAGTTTCTAGTGTTCATCAATTAGCAAATAAAGATAACTAATGACTACCCCAAATTACATGTTGGATTTCATTCTAAGACTAATGGCATTATCTGTGAGGAGCTGTGCCAGAAATCACAATCTTTGGTTATGTTTTTAGCTTAAGTTAAATCATGCCAAAGTTTCCAAAATGATGTTACGAACCAGTATTGTGCAAATAATTCTGGTTTTCCGTATTAACTTCTGCCTTTGCTACATTTTGTAGGGTTTTAGATAAATACATACACATGTTGAGCTCATTGGGAAAGGACATTTGGTTACATTTCAGACGAAGAGCAAAAAAATGCTAGAGAGAAGCCCTCCCTGTTCTTAGCCAAATCCATTTCCTCCTTTTAAATTGCAAGTAAAATCTTACAAGGAAGAACAAGGGAATATCATCAGTCTGATTTAACTCTCAGCACTGGAAAAATGTGACCCCTAAACCTTATTAGACCAGAGACTTTGCAAGGGAATTTATCCAAAGGGTGCATTTTGACCCTGTAAAGCAAACCAAACGGAGTTGACTGTTTTCCTAGGAAGAAGAATACTCAGAAGGTTATGTAGCAGGTCAGTGCAAACAACTGGAAGTAACCGCTTCTTTTTTGGCTCATCTTTTCTCATAAACACAAAACTGAGCCTGCCAGATACTCAGCCCAGAGTTTTCATTTGCATGCTTCTCTGTGTCACAGTCCCCATTTTTAAATGGCCAGCATATTGCTGGATTTTTCTGGAAAATTACAGGCAACTCTTACACTCTGTTAAAAAACATGCTAGTAAACTGAATAATAAAAATAAGAGTTATATGCCTGTACTAGTTTCCCTGCTAAGCCTTACCTTTACCTGTTAACTCTGCATAACCCTGTATGTCTTACATGTATGGTTAAAGTCAGCCAGGTTGTCATTCAGTACCTATCAACAAATTAATCAGAATTAGGGAAAGGAGAAACCAGCCTATTCATACTGGGGATACTGGTGCAAAGTCTAACCACATCTGGCCTGGAGCCCCAAAGAAAGTCCCATCTTGTGCAGCGTGTCTCTGACCTCCTCCTGCCTCTCCTCTCCCCAAACACGTGTAGCTTTGCAGTCAGTGGATGTGCTGCATTTCGGTGCTGTGCGGAAAGGGAGATGTCTTATCGATAGTTCTTGCAACAGTATTAGATAAAGTTTCTTCTCTGTTCACATTGAGCAAAGCATACTATGCTGCTGAGAAGAACGTGTTTTCCATCTTTTAGTGTTAAATGAGCCTCTTTTTCTCCCCGCATCCCTGCAAGATAAATAACATTCTGTTCTATCTTACTGTATTTTATTTTTGCAGTATATCAATTACACGAGTCACAGCAGACATCTCGCTTGCCAAACGCTCAGTATTAAACAACCCCAGTAAGCATGCGATAATAGAGCGATCTAACACAAGATCAAGCTTAGGTAAGTACCTATAATGATGCTATCTACAAATTGGCTGTAAAATATACTACTCTCAATTTGTATCTGTAAGCTAAAAATAGCCTTCTCTCTGCTGTGAGAAAATCACAATTCCCATAATTCAGAAAGCCTGGCACTAGAAATAATTTTTAAATCGCTACCAGGTAAACTTCATAGAGTGCCAATTTTGGTTTATCCTGCTTATGTTCAGTTTTCATGCTCTGCTGTTTGCCTCAGTGGGGAGAAGTAGCCCTCCATAAGGTAATTAAAATCCGGTTAAATAGAACTGACAGTTTCAGAATACCTGAAATTGTATGGATAGTATTGATATTATGCATTATCTTTGATAAGATTACTGGTAGTGGTAGCTACTGATATTAGACCTGAAAAAAAATAATTATTGAAGTACACTTTTTCTGTCTATCTACAATGATTTCGTTCTGCTCCAGGTATTTAAAAATGGTATTTATTGCAATAAAATTTGATCTCGATAGTGAAAAACAGGGGTGGTGGTGTTGGTTTGGTTTGTTCTGTTTTGCTCTGAACGGGTCTCCTGGCTGCACGGCTGTGGGACACGGGGGAGATGAGTTGCTGTCTGTCTCTCTCCTCCTTGAACAGTCAGTGGCACGTGGACTGAGACCCATGTGTTTCTTTCTACAGCCAGTATCATTTAAAAATGGCTTTTTATTATAGCAAATATAGCTATATGCTTTATGTTAATCCAAATCCCTCTCCCCTTCCAGGTTCAATGGGAAACTATTCCTTTACTCACCCACCTTTGCATAGTGGTACCCCACGGAGCTAGACAATCAGGCTAGGGATTTATCCCTCAGTTATGCTCACGTTTGTGAGCAGCAGTGGTAACTGCAGCAGAGAAGGCTATTTCTTAGACTTTTGAAAATATATTGTTGGGTTTTATGTAAGTATTATTTTAATAAGTATTCTACCAATGAGTTAATATAGTACAAAGGTAATGTGCTTGATATATTAATACCAAATCCTTTTTTTCTAGGAAATAAATTAACCTCTTTTTGAGAACAGCTCTTTCCTAACCAGCCAATATAGGTTTGCAGTATTGTGCATATTGTTCATAATTGCACAGAGGACAGTAAACAGTGGAGTGAGCACCATTGTTTGGAACTAATTTAATAGATAACCCAGAATTAATTTCAAGGAGGCATAGACAAACAATGTGATAATCAGGAGTGGGAATAGCCATGAGGAACTGGATTTACAGGATTATAGGGAAGTCTCAATGGGCTTGATGCTACACACACCTACTGACTGCAGATTAGCTTCTGTAAAGGAATCAGTTAAAAATAGACTTGGGATTTGACTCATTGGAAACCAGTGTCACCACTGAATGTTCTAGTGTAAAATTAATGTATCCAAGAATTTTATAAAAATAGTGTCTGGCTCATAAGGATTTAGGAGGACAGTACAGACTTATTCCTCTCCTATATGAAAGCTTGTTTTGTATACAAAGAGAAATGTTTGCTTGTCAATACTGTTATATGTTTAATATGTGAAATGCTAGAACTAAATTTAAGGAAAGGGCAATTGATTCATTTCTTTAAAAGCCGAGAAGAATCTGTAATTTTGAAAAGACTTTTCTCTCCAAGAAGGTACAGTACATCGTTAGATCTCATTCACCTGAAAATGAGTCCCAATTGGCTTAGTTAAATTTCTATATGTACACATGCCATTTGCAGAAACTGCTGAACAAGCTCTGTGCTTTTGCTGCATTTCTTCATCAAAAGGACCCAAACCTTTTTCTTGTTGTTTCTGTGTATGTTACACTTGTTATAACCTTACCTCATGCTGTATGCTTTGTACAAGAACCTGATTGTCTTGGCTTTTTCCATTCTTTGCTTCATTAATGCTCTCCCTTTCCAGATGTTTTGGGTATGTATACAAGCTTGCAAATTACTTTTCCTGCTGTTTTGTGTTCAGTGCTTTATTGTACCTCACAGAACCACCATGTGTTTCTCGTAACTGGCTCACTGATAGACAAAAGCCAATCCTGTACTGTGTTGCTAAGTTTTTCTTTTAGAAAATCTTGCCGGTTTTCCTTATTTATTTTCAAGGAATTCTAAAAATAAAGTTGAGATTGACAAGTAAACACTAAAGATTAGGTTTTCCACTGTAAATTTCTAAGGCGTGTGCACCTAATCTGCATATTCTAACATAGACGTGTGAATGCCAGTGTAAAATATGTCATCGTGTATATGGCAAATCGATTGCAGACAAATAGCTGTTTATTTGCTTTCTGTGTGCATATGCAGTAACCTGTGAGGTGATACATGCACCCAATTTGCATGTGCAATTGAGTCCCTACCTTTGGAAGGTTGTCTCTAGAAAATGTATAGAGCTCCCTCTCACATCATTAGGTTGATATCCCAGAGTTTTGTTTTCTGAAAATGAAACATTAATAGAAGAAATAGTAGTGGATTATCAGTGCAAACTTCAGCCTTGTATTTTTATTTTCTTGATATCTGCGTGAAAAGCTTGAAACTGTGGTAACTATTATATATATACACACGTTATATATGTGATAATGTTGTTATGTATTCTCCATGTTTGGTAGTTTAATGACAATTGTTGTATGTGATAAGTTTCAAGTAAATGCTTCCCCAGATATATATTAAACTTAAATGGGTGCTAGCTAAGCCTCATAAAAATCCTTCCCTACTTACACAGGCCGTGGAACAGGAATGCAAAATTGGGATTTAACCAAGACTGTATTTCCATTCCAAAGTATCAAGGATCTAATATAGTTAGAAGAAAGAGAAGAAAAAATGGTGTTCAATGTGTTATGGAAAATTCTGGTTGTCCCTTTATAGTTTTATCTTCAAGATAGCTGGGACAAATCTCCAGAACTCTCACTTGCAGGCATTAAATCCTCAGATATGGTAAAGTAATCTGCTAAACCTGAAGCTGCCTTGAACCAGAATCCTGTAATATAGCAGCCAAGAGCTTTTGGGTTATCATGAGGATGTGGCTACACTTCTTTTTGTATGCAGATGGGGGAAGAGT